ATATATATATATATATATCGACTTCATTCACATAACTAGTGAATTTGAGAGAAAGTGGATCTTTAGTGGTATTGTGATTCAATTGTTCCACGCAACTTTTTCATTATATGGCATTATAGAAACAAATAATAATTGCGTAACCCCATGGTAGAATTAGAGGAATTGAAGTTGAAGGGGATTGTGTTGTGTCAAGGTTTAATGGAGGTAGAGGAATTGCATCAGCATTAAACTTAAGCTAAATGGAATTATATAAATTAGTGAGGTATTTCGTGTTTTTATTTATTTTTGATAAAAAAAAAACAAGAACTTCAAAAATAATTGTGTACCAATTACTTAAGAGATGAGAAGAGAAAGAGAGAGAAAAAAAAAAAAAAAAAAAGAAGATAATCGTGTGAGTAAAGAAAAATTTTCATTTATAAATAAATTAGTTTATATTTTAAGAAAATTGTGAAAGATAAAATAATCCTACTAAAAATGGAGATTAAAATCAGTTAAGGTAAGGTATCCAGTTTATTTATTGTTATAGATAATAGGTTTAATGATTATGTACCGTTACTGTAAAAAAAATTTACATTATTAACTAATACAAATTATTGTTGATATGAATTTTAAATTAAATATCATAAATTTAATATATTTAACATACCATGATATGATTTTTAATTAGACCACATTATAAAACTTTAAATTAGGATTATTTACTTTGTTGTCTTAGTTTATTTCTAAATTACTTATTTTAAAATATAAAAAAAGTAATTACTTTAAATTTTTATCACATGAAATAAAATAATGTTACTAACATAAATAAATAATATAAATAAAATTTAATGTTTTAAAATTATAATTTTATTTTTAAATTTAATTTATACTTCAGTTTTTTATAATTTTAAATTTGTAGTTAAACTTAAAAATTTTATTTATAGTAATATATTATTAAATACATTTTAGATTATTTATTAATAATGTTTAATATGCATTAACATTATTCAATTATGTTTAAGTAAATTGTTTTCGTTCTCCAAGAATATTATTAAACAATAATGTAGATTTTTTTTAGATATTTTATTTTTAATAAGTAATACTTGAAATTATTCAATTAATATTGCATGATAAAATATTTGTAAGCCGTCTTTGAAATTAATTTTTATTAAATAAAATATTTTCTGACATTTTTAAGATTAAAAAATTAAATATATTCCTTACATCAAAATAAAACACATGTAACTAACTGAGTAAATAATTTAGTTAAATAAAATTTTTAATTTTAAAGTATTTATAATTTTAATTCCTTAAATTTAATTTATATTTGAAAGTTATTTTATATTCTAAAATATTAATGAATAATAATATAGAAGACTTTAACTATTTTATTTTTTTGTAATTAATACTTGAATTTATTTAGTTAATATTATATATAATAAAAAAATTTATTGATTAAAATAAATTTTTAAATTTATCAATTAAAATTTTTGAATGTATATATTTTACTATCATTAAAATAAATTTATGTTAATTAAATAAGTTTTACATAATCATTTTTAATAGGTAATTGGATGTTGTGTTATTTATTTATTGTCGTAGGAACACTTGAAGCATACATAAGGAGTTGGATCACGTGCACATTAAATTTATTTAAATTCATACTTTATTCATACAATGCAAAGTTTTTTTCATATGTTTTCTAAATTCATTAGTTAGTTTGAATTTGTTGCATAATATTATGACTTTCTTTGGGTTCATTTAGAATAAACTACGATGATTTTGTTATATTAATATTCATTAATTTACTAAAGAGCATGTGTTCTTAATTTAGTTATGTTCTCAACTGAAGGGATAACCGGTTCACGTCAATATAAAATTAATTAAAAAAAAAAGACCGTTATTGAACTTTTTTTTTTTTTCGTCCTGGAATATCCACTGTAGATTAATTTCTTCGCTAAACTTTCATTATTAGTCCTCATTAAATTGTAAACGTTATAAATTATTGCGAGCTTAACCCATTATAAATTACTAAGGACTTTTTTTCATTGCATAAATTACCAATTTTTTTTTTCCAAAAAATTACCAAAGACTCCTGTTTTTTTACACCAAAATTACCAAAGACTAGTCCTCGGTAAATCGTGAAAAAAATAAATAAATAAAAGAAGTTAACACCATTTTTTTTTCTCATAGTCGTCAAAATTTAGTCTTCGCTAAATTGTATACAAATAATCATTTTTTAGCATGTTATTCGCAAATTGTTGATGATTAATATTTAATATTAATGGTTTGAATCCTAATTTTTTATATGAAATTATATTAAGAGAGAATATATATTTTGTGTATATTTATTGTCTATAATAAATATTAATCACTACTTTTAATGATAATACTTCATATTAATATCATAATTATAAGTATAAAGTAAATTAAAAACTTAGTATTGGTGATTTTTTTTTTGGTTGTTGGTAGCATTTACTAACAAGTACATTACCAGCAAAATCATAATTGTCACTGATCTGCAGATAAAGATAAATTAGAGGGAGTGTTTTTACCATGTGATAATTCTATCTTTTGGTAATTACAACACCTTGTAATCGAGAAAAACAAAAACTCAAAAACTTGTAAACGATTTGATTGTTTTTTTAGCCAAACGTAACATGCAATATGCTAATGTAAGTTTGTCAACTTTTACACCAATTTAATATCACACTACCACACTTTTATAATTGGTTGAGAATGTAATTTTGTGCACATCAAAAGTACGATTAAACTTGATATTTATCTAGTATTTTCAATAGTTTTTTTTAGATTACTCACCTTAGGACCTTAGTTGTATTATGGCTATCCTCTTCAGAATTTTTTTTTTTTATTATTAAACTCAAGACTTGAGTGAGAGATCTTGAGACTTAAGAATTAGTATTGATTGGACCAAAGTGCATAGAAATGTTAGCTCTTGGATTCTTCATCAATAATAGTGGATTAAGTATATATTGTTTCTCTATCGTTTCCCACTAGAGAGTGAGTCACAAATCACATTCACATAATGCCCAAAAATGAAAATCCAAGAGCATACTCTCCCTCTACACGCTCTTATCCAATTTTCCACTCAACCTTCCCAAATAGTTTCTCTCACATTTGTCCTTAACTATTGGTTATCTCATCAAGTCACACTAATTTTGTTTCCTCGTGCCGCTTTTTATAAGCCACCACCTTCAACTACGTTTCACATTCTTCAAACCACACCACCCCATCTTCCATATCAGGTCCACCTTGTGACCTTCATTGTCTCCATGTTATTTTTAGTTGTTGATTTTTGCTCTTTTGATCATTTTTTTTTGTGTGTTCGAATGAGGTTCCTTTTTCTTAATATTATTTATTTTTGGGTTGTAGAATACGGAAAAAAATTATTTGACTTAGCTCTATAGTAAACAATTGTTAATATAAGTAGCATTGGAATGTGACCAATGATTTGTTTTTGGGCTATAAAGCATGCAGGTTGAAAATTTCTTTTTTGATGCTATGAGATGATATAGTAATACATGCTAGTTTGTGGAAATTTTGGTATATCTATAAATGGAGCCATTAGGGTGCCTCCTTTAACTTGCATTAGTATTGGAGATTTCATTTTTTTTTTCTTTTCTTGGATAAGAGTAGACTATAAGAAATGAATTTGTAATATTACATCTTCCTTTTATTTCCAACTAAAAAACAAGTCTTTTTAATTCTTGTCTAATAATTATTTTTTCTTGTCGATAATTTTCATTCTATGTTATCTGTTTCCTTTCAAATTTTTTTGTATATTTTTTCTTCTTTTTTTTTCGCATAACTGTCAATACAAGTTTTGAAATGGATATTTGTTCCTCTAAGGTTCTCGACAATAGTTAACGGAATATATTGTTATTTTTCTAGATATGATATTCTAATATGGCTCTTGTTCTCTTTTGCTAGCAAAATTACTGAAACTTTATTTGAATTAGCATGTTGATTCTTTTACATAACGCACCCTATGTGATATGTTACTTCCTATGCATAGGTTTATCATTTTCTTTTGGTTGGATTTTGCTAATGGAGATTGCAAGAATCAGACAATGGCTAAACCTTTTAGTTTGTGCACTACTATTGCTTAAAGGAAAAGGATATATTGTTCCAAAGACTTTGGTCGAGAATGCAGTATCAAAAGGAGCTGGTGAGGAATTTTAGTTGTGATCTTAAGGAACTTTAATTCTCCACTGTAATATTTTTATTTGTAACATTTATATAAATACTTGAGAAATTGAAGCTTAACATGTGGTGCAGTTTGTTTAGATGGCAGTCCCCCAGCTTACCACCTTGATAAGGGATTTGGAGAAGGGATTAACAATTGGATTGTTCACATTGAGGTATGTCACTTTTAGAAAATTGGCACTAATAATGTTTTTTTTAATTTATCTATAAACATGATCCTTGTAGTATCTTAAAGTTCACAACAAAGGATTAATTTTCCGTCGTGGAATATGTCTTCCGCTGAGAAGTATTATTTTACTAACTCAAGAAGAATTTCCTTTTCAGTTTTTAATATTTCTTGTTATATAGGAGTGTATGAGTATGTTAGTAATTATTAAATGTAAAATTTGTCAATTGGTTTTTCTCTGTTTTGACAAACTATGAAAAGATCTTTTTACTTGGAAATGATCTTCACTACCATTTATTTTAGGGAGGAGGATGGTGCAACGATGTCACTAGTTGCCTTTACCGTAAGGACTCTCGCTTAGGTTCATCTAAGCAAATGGTTGAGGAACTTGGCTTTTCTGGAATTTTAAGCAATGAACAACAATTTAATCCAGGTTTTGTTTTCTAATCTCTCTGAATGTGTATGTGTGTGGTTTCTAGTTATGAACTCAACATTTTTGCTTAGCTTTCTAACTAATTTTATAAATTTCAGATTTCTACAATTGGAATAGAGTCAAGGTTAGGTACTGTGATGGGTCATCATTCACTGGTGATGTGGAAGAAGTTGATTCAGTAAGTTTTGTAGAATTCAAGGGAATTTGAAATTAAACTCCAAGGAAAATATTAACAGTTGATAAATTTTATTTTCCAATTTTCTTTCTGATGAGATTTGTATATTGTGATGTATAAATCAGACAACCAATTTGCACTTCAGAGGAGCAAGAATATTTTCAGTTGTAATGGAAGATTTACGGGCAAAAGGAATGGAAAATGCTAAAAATGTATGAAACATTGATGATTTGGCACTTTTTTTCTTCCTCCTGAATGGTTTTCTCTTACACTAAAATTGAAACTTGGCTCTATAGGCTATTCTCTCTGGTTGTTCAGCTGGAGGATTGACCACTATATTACACTGTGATCGCTTTAAAACTTTGTTGCCTTCTGGAGCTAATGTGAAATGTGTTCCAGATGCTGGTTATTTTATCAATGTGTATGGTCCTCTAATTGGATTTTACTTGGCCTTTTTTCTCCAACTTTTAGTTTCTTAGATCATTTAATGATTTAATGTGTTGTTGTGTATCAGAAAGGATATCTCAGGAGCAAGTCGCATTGAAGAGTACTACAGTCAAGTTGTTAAAACACATGTACTTGTCTTTAATGCTTTGATTATTTTCCCTTTTATTAAAGCACTTGCCTTTCTTGTGTTTTACACCCAAAAACTACCTCTAAAGTTTTCCCACTTTTCATTTGAAAGATACTTTCTAATGGCTAAAGCATTCTTTAAAGGGTCTTGTTAGAACATTAGTTAAAGAATCAATGTGCAGAAAGTTTTTTTTAAAAACTATAATAAAACTATACGGAACACAAAAGAATATGCAGATATATTTTTTAATAAAAACTTTTTATTTTATTATTTAACCAGTGACATTACAACACTGGTTAGTATTTTCCTTCTTTGAATAGCAACTGGTTTATTATTATTTTTTTGTTTTGTTTTTGTTTTATTACTTTAGGGCTCTACAGAGAATTTGCCCACATCATGCACTTCAAAATTCAGCCCAGAACTGGTAAGTTTATCACTTGTAATTTTTCCTTCAAGCTTTGAACTTCTTTGGTTATATTGATACTTCTGAATTGCTATGTAGTGCTTTTTCCCACAATATGTGGCATCACAAATCAATACCCCAATCTTCATTGTAAATTCAGCCTATGACTCATGGCAGGTTAGATTATTCTGTTTCTCAAGAGGTTTCAGATTGTTTTTTAGAGTGGTATTCCTTTAGAGTATCTTGTTCATACAGTAAATGACTTAAGGCATGATTATATTGTTTCCTTAGTTGGTGGATTCTTTTAAAATTAAAAGCTAAAGTAACATTAGATTTAAGATATAATATGATAGTAAAGTAACGATCATAGGACGCAATTTTTGTGCGTTTTTGGGACGTAGCTTTTCATAAATTTCATATATAAGGACTTATTCAGAACTTGAACATGATAGACTTTAAACATGAATCCAAGATTCTTGGTACAAAATTTTATAGTTGTTTAATTAACTAATGGATAAAACTCGTTTAAGCAAAATCAACTAGTATATGATTAGAAATTGAACCAACACTACATGACCTCTTAATCTTAGTATTTCGTGATTCACTATGAATCTTTTATTTCTGAAGGTGAACTCTGAAATGTAAGAGGATGAAACCAGAATTATATTTGGCAACTGAAAATAAGCTTAGTAACTCAAGTTCAAAATGTTTTCATTTCATGTTTTAACTACTTAGAACATATTTGGATGCAAGATAAAAGTGTTTATGTGAACTTCAACTAAAAAAAAAAGTTTTTTAAAAGAAAAACTCTTAAAAACATTTCTAAATTTGTATTTAAACATATTCTTATTGCTCTTTAAGTGGTGATATCCTTATAGTGTTTTTATCTAATCCTCAGTTTATCCTTTGTTTAGATAAATAACATCTTGGCACCTGGTGCTGCTGATCCCAATGACCAATGGCATAACTGCAAGCTTGATATAAGCCGTTGCTCACCTGATCAACTAAGTATAATGCAAGGTGAACATTCTGATATTAAAAACTTGTGTATAATCAAAATTTGTTATATATAAAAGCAATTTTCACTATACATCTATTTAATCCAAAAAAAATTAGTCAAAATTCTAAATTTGTCCTGCCACTGTTAACACTTGCTGTATATATAATTTGTTTACATCCCTTAAAAATTGAAAATATTGGCACAAGAAAAAAATGTAGAAGGGCCATTCCAAGTTACATTCTCTTGCCATTTAAGAGAAAGTACACTTTTGTGATTTTCAGGCTTCAAGATGGAATTTGAAAAGGCATTGAGTGCTGTAGGTGACTCTCCATCTAAAGGAATGTTTATAGATTCTTGTTATGCTCACTGCCAAACAGAATCACAAGAGACATGGTATAAAAGTGACGCTCCACACCTTGCCAATAAAGTAAGATACTTCATTCTTTTCTCCCTTATCCATAATATAAGCATTTATTAGTTTTTTAATTATCTTTTTTATTCTTTTGTATAATTTTATAAACTTTATCTTTTAGTTTTTATAGTAATAAACGATAGGAATTAACATAAAACAAAAATGATGTATATGAGAATTAAAATAAAACGTTTTTAATTATAAATTTTAAAACGAAAATTTTATGAAATTATAAAAAATAAAACAGTAATTAATTTTTTTTATTATTTTCTTTTGTATCTAGTTGAAAAGCTAATACTTGTATGGATTACATTCTGCAGACAATTGCCAAGGCAGTGGGGGACTGGTTTTATGATCGAAGCCCTTTCCATCATGTAGATTGCAATTATCCTTGCAACCCTTCTTGTCAGAGCCGTGTTTTTGATCTAAAAGACCACCCTGGAATATAAATTCATTTGATCAAATATATATCATTCCTATAAACGTTTCCTATTAATTAACTGGTTATTTATGGTTTGAGTTAGAAAGCTAGCAAAATAAGAAAAAGGCCACCACCATTGCACTGACCTTGTGCATTGGGTGTCCTCAATCAATGTTTATCATTATAACTGTTGCAGTATCATTAAAATAGTATATTATGTGCTATTACTAATTGGTGTGTCGACTTTAATGTCACAGCAAACTGTTTAAAAAAACATAAACTATTTAGTCAAACTATATTAATGATTTTATTGTATAAGATCTAAAGAATAATTAGATTGATTTTATTGTATAAGATCTAAAGGATAATTAGATGGACCTCCAACAAATAATATAAATATTTGTGAAAATTTAAATTAAAACTACAGGTAAAATAGATTCATATGAAAACTGTCTTTAACATTCAATCAATTTAAAACGAAATTATAAAGTATATACTTTATAATATATAGTTTATAAATAAAAAAGAAAAGGTATTCAAATAATGTATAAATTCCTAATCTAATTTTATTACCCTGATGTCACACTATTAGAGCAATCCATAACTTTAACTCTCGATACCTTGAGTGCTACCCACATCAAGATCATCATTACCTAAAATAACCACAAAATATACGGGTGAAAAAACCAAGCGCTCATAAGTGAGATATAAGAAATAATTCACGCCCAATACAAAGTCAACCCACATATAATCAATAATAATATCCAATCGCAACTTTATTATCAATTTTCAAATCCATCCACTGTTATCCTCATCACCACATTGTAATATAGCTATGCACCATGCTCAAGTTCACACCAATGCTTATGTATTGCAACCTCCTAAGAAGCATTTACTTAGAGCGTCATATAATGGGCGAACTTTTTCAATCTCCTCAATCACCGCTACGCATGGCTACACTGTTAATCACCACATAAGTCCTCATTAATCACCACACAGGCCAAGGTAATGCATATGCACATGCCCCAATGCTCATGCTAATGCCACCAAACTCATTCCTCATCTTCATTTATGCTAATACACAATTATTAAGTAATTTTGCATACAACCACATTTATACATCACTCATCCAAATACAAACCATTCATACTCAAATATACTCAACTAAATACATACCATTTATATTTATTCATACAATAGTCATTACTGGACATCATACAATTCACAACCATCATCAAAATCCATCAATATAATATCATATTTCACAATCTCACATCAAACTCATTCAACCATATCATAAGTATTATAAAGCATCACTAAGAAATCATAAAGTATCACAAACATGCCAAAAAAGGGGAACCAAAACGTCAAAAACGCAAACTGAAATAGAATATCCGCATTGGATACCGTAAATCCTAACAACTTGACCTCTATTCACTATTTCGACCATAACTTGAGTTATGCACATCCTTTTTGAGTGATTCCAACACCATTGAAAAGATAACATCCAAGGCTACTACTTTTGTAAAGAAAACAAAGCCTAAAATTGTCGTTAAGGTCACCTCACATAGCTAACAACACAAAATTTAATATTTCGCGCACTAGAATGGAGAATGAACTTATAGCTTGCATAACACAATCAATTCTTAACATTTTTAAATGATTCTAGAGTCTAAATTATAGCCCCAAGTGTCTACTTTCTAACCCAACAAACAAAAATTTATTTGGTTAATCACACAAAAAGATATTACAAAAATACTAAGGTACATCTATAAGTAAAATCTCTTAATTACTTATTAATTCATATAATTAAGGGTACTCATCAATCTACAAAAACCCTAACTTATAGAGCAAATCTCAATGAATTCAATTATCATTTATATCATTAATTTTACCAAACAATATAATAACCACATTTATAAATTAATTTAAAACCTAATTGAATCATCAATTTCAGCTTCAAAAAGAAATAAAAAAAAATCTTAGAAATTTAGGGATTTCTCTCACTACCCATTCTTTCTTGTAATACCACATATGAATAACTGATTTTCCTCCCCGTACCTTGTTATGTTAATAGGAACAATATGACGCAGTTTAAGATGGTTCTGAAAAATTCTCTCCGGAGCTCCCTTCTCATCTTCATTTTCTCTTCTAACTCTTTAGAACGCAAAATGAGGTAGATAGGGTTAACTTTGTCTAGCTCATTTCTTAAAATTCCATTGGACCGGGTCAACCCAACGCATTTCCCTTCTTCCTGTAGACCCCTAAAATTGTCCGGGTCGGAAATAAAGCTTGAAGACTCTCGAAGACCAAAGGAAAGTCAGCCGGAAGGACTCCTGGAAGACCCTGGAAGACCCTAGAATGACAATCTGTAGGTTTAGAGGTCTTAGAGTAGCAAAAAATAAGAAAGTGGAGGGAATGAAGCCCAATACGGCCTCCCAAAAGTTCAGTACGGCCGTATTGAACATTTTAAACTACAATACGGCCGCACTGAACTCAATACGGCCGTATTGAGGTTTTTTGAACTTCAATACGGCCGTACTGAATTCAATACGGCCGTATTGTAGTTCAAAACTTCAATACGGGCCGTATTGACTCCAGGGCCCGTATTGCGCCTGTTCCCTATAAATAAGACGTCATTTGGACGTCATTCTACACTTTTACACTGAGTTTTAACCCTCTTCTTGAGTATTCTGGGTTTTTTTGAGCAGTGCTCTGCCTAGAAATCACTCGGAGAGTTGATCCGACAAAGTTCTCGAGTTCTGAGCTTTTTGCTTGAGTCTCGAACTGAGTCGAAGGGAAATCCTCCGGATTTCCATAGTTAAAATTTTCTAGGAGGGAGCGAGCGGGCTTGTAGAGCGAGGGAACGCCAAAAAGCTTCCCAGTTTTACTTGAATATAAAAGCACGCTTCAAAGGTTTCTTCTTAAGACCTTCCTTTTACTGCTTTCTGTGTGTATATTTAACTGTCATCATGTAGATAGTTAAGTTATAATTGTTTAGAATAAATAGGGGTAATTTAGTAATTTCGCACTATTATTTTTAGAAATAATCTGTCATAGGGAACCCGAAAGGGGCGCTGTGGGGTGCTAACACCTTCCCCACGCGTAACCGACTCCCTTACCCGACTCTGGTTGTCATGGCCGAAGTCGATTTTTGAATCGATTGCCTTAAACTTCTTTTTCCAATGTTTTGAGTAAAACATTGGTGGCGACTCCATGAACCCTTCCTTTTTATGAAAACCGCTAATCCATGGAGGGTCCCGCTTGGGATTAACATGGATTGGTGAGCCTTTTAATAAAATTGCTCGTTTGACAAGGTCTCAGTTTGAGAATAAGTCATTCTAGCAATCCATATTTTTAAACAAATAAAAGAGTCCAACCATCCTTCGCGAATGCCGAAAGCCCGTTTCGGGCCGGTGGCGACAGATGGCGACTCCACTGGGGAAGCTTCGAGAGTCAGTCCCATTGAGTGACAGATTATTTTTAACAAATAATAGTTAAAATTACTTTATTACCCTTTGCTTGTATGATAATATGCTTTATTTATTTGGCTTAAATAACTGTTGTTTGTTT